TTTTTTTTTTTTTTTTTTTTTTTTAATGTGGAAAATTTTCGACTATTTTCCTCTACGAAGTTTTGACATTAACTTCAAAGGAAACCATTGGAGTTTATTTTGTTCTAGTTGCTTTTCTTTGTTCTATACTCTACCGGAATTGATATTGCACCATACTTTATCTAAGTTTTGGAAGATTCAATAACTGCAACGTCTTTTGCTGGCAGGCTGGGTAATGTTTGTGTGTTACAGTCAACATATGCTATGAGAAAACAACAGCCATGTGGTGAAGCATTTGCAAGAGAAATAATATGGGCTTTCTTCCAAAATCAAAAGAACTAGCCATTCTCAGTTCTATCTGGTGCTTGACCGTGATTAGTTAGCCAGAAATTAATCTCGAGAGACAGTAAAGTGCCGAGCTATTCAACTATCCTGTAGAAGCAATTGTACATTTATTTGCACAAGTACATACGCTGGGATTTCCTTTTGTTTGATTTTATTAAAGATTATATTCATTTTCTCTTAAACTCATCCAGTTTTTATATTTTTTCACACAAGTAAACTCAATAAAGTTTTCAAACCCAGATTAATCCTCAGATTTCCTGTTCAGTTCAGTTGTTAAAGTGAACTTATTTAATATTTATGCGGAAATGAGTTTTAACTGAAAACACCATAAGTTTGAATTAATTTCTATTAGGTTCCATTAAAACATTATTTGTGAAGTTAGGTCAATTCAGTGAACGTAGTCTGAAGCAAACGTTATTAAAGAAATAAATTAATTTGTTATCGTTACGTGGATTGTAACTTGGTATCATTTTTACCTAATATTTCAAAAGAACCTGCCGAACGACAGAACACGTTACAACAAAACAAAACAAATTATAGCATAACATACAGACAACATGGAATCATTGATCCCCCTCTTAAAATCTGGTAAAGTGCTGGCCCGTCGTTTTCAAATCTTAAATGTATATCCCTTGTCCTATCTTCAGAATACAACACAAAGAAAACTAAAATATTTACTCTGTCAATCCTCCAGATAATTTTGTACATCAAAAAGAGTAAGTGTAATTTTCGATAACTATTTTGTTAAAGCTATTTAATACATTGAAATTAAATATATTTATATTTGCATAGAAAACTATAAATAAAAATCTACTATGAATCACTGTCTATGAGTCGTCAAGAAATTAGATCAAAAGAAATTAAAATTGCAATCTAAATATCATAAACATCCAAAAGAAAACAGGCCTAGAAAGCACTATCACAAATAACAATAGTAAACTTTCTGTTCAGAAGCTAACGAAACAATACTACATTTCTTGTTTTATAATGTGTTTGTTTTTTCTAGCTTTGTTTTTCACTATTACTAGGTGTTTATGTATAGTGTATACGTGGATATAATTACGATCTCTGCATATTTACATAACGCTATAAACTAAACGATTTTTTTTTACTTTTGTGTCTATGAGGGTCGTAGTTTGTCCTAAATTTTTTCGACTTTCAATATCCTAGTGGCAATAAGGTTAATTACAGAATGAAACGTAAATCGCGTGAATGTATACAAGAAAGTTACGGATTATAGGTTTTAATTAAAACATTAAAGAGTATCATATCAAGTTACGTATGTAGAATATTGTATTATTGTTGCTAGTTTATTTTGAATATTTATATAAATGCAGATTATACTGTGAGATGTGTCAATGTATATTTTTATATGTATCGTATTTTTTAGTGTTTGCACAAAGGTAGGAACAAACAGACTAAACGGTGCAGGAGTAGAAAAGTCGATACAAACTGTGTTGGTATTACAATTATAAAATAAACGGTAAGTTTGAAATACATTGAGTTTTAAATTTTAAACAAATTCTATATGCCACACTGATTAATTTAGTGGAAAGAGTTCCATATGGCACCTTCACCCAAAAATTGTAGAATTGCCTGGATAAAAAAGATAAGAAGATTGTACATCTAATTAATGAAGTAAGTGGTATGGTAATGTATTAAAATTATCAGATCATGATTCAATAACTTGTATATTTTCCATAAATATGTAAATGCATGTTCATTGGAATTCTTTTTCTTCCCTCTCTAAAGATGAGGTCCTGAAATGTATGTAATATTGCCCATAAAGATCTAAAGAAGTGCGTTAATGTATCTTGCATTTTTTTTTTATGCATTCATAATATTTGTACTTGAAATGGGACATTATACTAGTTTTTATTTTTGTTTTTTTACTGAATATTGGTTCTGTTCTCAATTTATAAGAATAATTGCAAAATTTTCCATATAAATGATTGACAAAAATGATGCATGTACATATACTCTGCATATTCCTTTTTTTATGATGGCCTTGTGGATAGCATGTCTGACTGTGAATCCTAGGGTTCATGATTTATGTCTCACTGCTGCAGAATCATACTCTTGCACTTTGTAGGTGCATTATAAGAGAAACAGTCAAATCATACTATTCAATTATAGTACTCCAATAGTTGGTAGCAAGTGCTATTGACTAGCTGCGTTCCGTATCATCAGTTAGAATAACCAATGCAGATATCACTTGTGTATCTTTGTGGGAATATCTGAAACAAACAAAGAAACATTTTTCTTGAATGTTAATGTGACAGAATTTAGTCATGAATTTCAAGGTTCTGGAATTGACAACTTTCTAGAGTTTATAAATGTGCAGAACTTTAGTTTTTTTTTTTGGTTTATCTCCATAATTTAAATATTTTTTAAACTAATTTCTAATTTCTTCTGTGAGTAGCTATGGTAAAAAATACACTATTTTAGCTGTTGTAAAGTTAAACACAATTTTGTCTTTGTAGTCTTTTATTGGTTAATTTTGGCCTATCCAGAATGAGCCTGACATGGCCGGGTGGTTAGGGCATTTGACTCGCAATCTGTGGGTCTTGGGTTCGAATCCCCGTCCCACCAAACATGCTCACCCTTTCAGCTATGGGAGCATTATAATATGATGGTCAATTCCATATTAATTGATAAAAGAATAGCCCAAGAGTTAGCAGTGGGTGGTAATGACTAGCTGCCTTCCCTCTAGTTTTTCACTGCTGAATTAGGGACAACTAGTGCAGATAACCCTTGTGTAGCTTTGTGCGAAATTCATAACAAGCCGTCCAGAATGTTACAACATGTGGTAAAAGTTAAGGTTATTATTCACTATGTTCTTGTATACGTGAATAGGTGTTTAATTGTCTGTTTAAATACAAATTTCTTTTATGCTTTAGAATTAACAGTCTACTTAAAGAACAGTTTGAATGTCAAGTTTGAGGAAGGTCCTGTTTCTAAAACATCAGAGAGAATTGTGGACAAGAAGGTTGTATTTCATACACTCTTGTAAAGTATCTGTCATCAAAAGATATCTAAGCACAAGGTAATTTAGACAGAAGATTAAGAAAAATGTTACATATACCAAAAATATTAACCATTACAAAAACATGCAATAGTGATAAAACGGATATCAGTAAGGGCCTAAAATAGCCCATATCAGATTTTGAAACAATAAAGTGACTGATATAATAAATTGTTTATGATAGCTTATATCCTTGGTATATCATAATTACCAAAATGGTGGTCATAATGTCTACAGATCTATAGATAATTAGAGTACATATTCTGTGTTAATTATTCAGGAAATAATCTTAGTGGAAAACGTTATATATATATATTTGAAAGAGTAATGTGCATGGGAAGCTTTTTAAACTTCATTAAACTATGCAAAAAAATGAAATTAGGAGTAGAGAAGTATGGATGATATCACCATATGTGAAGAACTTGTCTAATCTATGCAGAAAGGAAATGAGGATCAGGGAAGTACAAACAATGTTAGATATTTGTAAGGAAAGGGTGGGTGTAGATAGTACTAAGTATTGCAAAGGGAAAGGTGTTTAGGGTATATGATTTATCATCTGTCAGAGCCACATCTGAGACAGCATTGGTTATATGTTAAAAGTTTTTTATGTGGATTTCTTCATTTGCCTGTAGATATTTAGAGCACCAGTACAGTCACCCAGTTCACTCAAAACGTTTTACTACCACATACATATGTTAACTATAGTTCCCCACAGTTGTCTTTGCCAAAGCAGACAAGTAACAAATAACATGATTTCTGTGTCAATCACATACCTCAAACTTTAAGAATAACAAGGGGCTTGTTGGCCCATCAAGCCATCCCATCCCCTAAGTTAAATTAAATCTTAAGAAAAAAACAACCTCAAAGCCAGCCCTAAATATTCACTATTTTTAAAGCTTTCCCTTAAATATACAGTTATAACTAAAAGCCATCTGCCATGTATTCACCCACCTTGTCAAATAATCAAAATCCTTTTGTAAAGCAGCAGTATTCTCCTCACAGCTAGCAACATTCAGAGTTGGATTAGTCCCTTTTGATGCAAACGCCTTACTAATCCATGCTGCTAACATTACTGAGCTTTTTATGGATGAAGCATTGCACCTGCTCTAGTGTGGATACACTTAATGTTGGACATCTTTCAACAACCCTCACCATTTCCACAAATCTTTTGTACCTTTATAGTTTTGGGAGATTCAGTCTTCCCTGGAATTGAAAATTGCCAAAAACTAATGTCTCTATAATCAAAATACTCCTTGCAAGTATCTATTCTGCACTTCAAAGAGGACCACCATTCCACATCAAGCACTGTATTAAAGCACATCTTTGGAGTTTACTATCATCGACATGGCACGTACAACAGTAATATGGGGTGGTACAAAATTGTCTTTCCTATTTTAAAATTGAATAATTAAATAACTAAGTAAATACTACCATGTAGTTTTTAGCATCTTGTAGCCAAACTCAAACGGGTTTTATTTTCATGTTTTTTTTCTACTCCAGTTAGTGGTGTTACCCCATAAAATGGCAATCATGCAAGAAAAGACTCAATGTGTCATTTGGCTTGAAAAGACTCAATGTGTCATTTGGCTTGCAGAGACCAAGTCTGTGACTGTGGTTCAGGATAATTACAGATGCCAGTACAGGAAAGAAGTATGGGAGTATTTTTAAGGATATCGTGTATCGCATACCACCAGCAAACATCACAAAGTTAAAGACCAGGATAACAGACATCATCGTCACTGTAACTGTGGACGTGTTGCAGCGAACGTGGACTGAAATCAAATATCAGTTAGACGTACTGAGGGCCACCGACGGTGCACTCGTAGAAGTCTACTGACATGTCCATAAAAGCTGTTTGAATTGAGCTACAAGATTTTGAAGACTGCATGGTTGTATTTCCTTAGTTATTTAATCATTAAATTCTAAAATAGGAAAGATAATTATGGAACATCCTGTATTTTTACTGCTTATGATAAATAAAATATTACAAGTTACCTACAACAGTTGAAAACCACATTTTATTGTTTTGTAATTTGGTGGACAATTTCAGGCTTTGTGAAATGTTTGCCGTGAGTTTTGAAATCCCGGAACAATTCATTATTACTGTATCTCATTGTATAAAGGCATATTGTTTTATAAATTATATAAAAATCAAAGACAATTTTCTAGTTGCTAGTGGATGAGGAAATCATCATGTGTTCATTCTTAGATTTAAAATTGGGCTAAGTTTTGATGAACCTATACTTTAACAAAATTTGGTACAAGGAAATCATAGTCTATCTTTTGTTTGACTCGAGTTGAACTGCTTGTTCAAAAAAAGAATGAATTTAAGAAAATATTTTATTAAATTCTCAACTCTGATGTTGAACACTAGTCTTCTTGATACATTACTATCTTGCTTACTTGTTTAAAGAATGCTAGTACATCCATTAATTTTATTTTGTTTTACAAGAAAGAATAATACAGTTGTACTTGAAATGTTAATTCAATGGTTTGGAGGTTATGCTAGGTTTAGAATTTTGTATGTTTAATTATTCATATATCTCTCTAGTTAGGTTTAGCCTCAATAAGAATTTTGCAAATATGCTCAATTTTACATATGTTTCAGTTTAAATACTCATTTGAAGTATGAATTTTAGTATACAGTTAAAATTAATGTTTGCCTCATATTAGAGGAGGCACATGTTATGTTCACAAACTTGCACATGTCACATAACCATGTTTGAAACTTTTTTTCCACCTTTATAAAATTGAAAGATATTTATTTCTGGAATAAGAAAACTTAATTGTTCAAGATAACCAAAATAACATTTAAAATAGAATCTTCGATAAGTGAATTTGATAAATATTTACAAAGTTGTGATAATTTACAGTCAGGTAATCATCAGAAATTAATGTATTTAAGATTTATGCTTATAAACAGATATTTTCTGTTAAATATTCTAAATTCATACAAACATTATCCTTACATTATTGTGAAATCTGTTTAGTATTTTTTTTTAAAGAAAAGAAAATTTGTAATTAAATGAATAAAATAGAAAATATTTCTAAACTATTAATAATAGAAAATTGTAAAATTAGTTATTTCAATAATATCGGCCTGAACTATTTCAGAACCTTTTATATACATAATATGAAAATTAATGTAATATGAAAAGTCCTGTCATCATTCCCTGAATTCTGGTTAAAAGCTTTGTATTATGTTTTAAATGTACAAGAAGCATAAGATGTCTGTACATGTGTAGCTACATTCATATTTGTGGGTTATGAACAGCTTCATCATGACAGCAAAAACAGACATCAGAGATCACTTACGACCTCTAGTGGCAGTATGTCAGATGACCTCCCATGCTGACAAAGAAGCTAATTTTGAAGTTTGCAAATCACTAGTTGCAAAAGCGGGTTCAAGAGGAGCTCAGGTGTGTTGTCAATGGTAACCAAGTGTATTATTAATGTTGTGTAATGAATAAATTATATAGCAAAAAGTTAACTATGATCTAATTTACATTAAGTACAAAGTACCCTGTAACACTTATGGTGCTTGCTTCTTTAAGTAGTTGACTGGTGTTATAAGTTGTGATGAAAATACTATAAAACCTTTAAAAGGTTTTTGTGCCAGAATGTTATACTATTGGTCTAGCTGAATACCTAGTCATGTTGTACCTAAATATGAATCTCATGTGAATCCAGTTTAATGTATGTGCATACGTACATTCAAATGTAACTTCTTATTGTAAATGACATATGTATCTTTACAAATTTGCCTGTATTGCAGTAACTAGTTCTTTCTGTAGTTTAAACAAGTTTGGTTCAACAATCTGCGATCCACTTTTTAGAACAGCAACTGTTACTAATCTTGTCTGTTGTTGAATACTACCACTGAGACCTTTGGTTTCACACCATAAACATTAGTTTGGCTGGGTTACAACACCTTTATTGAAACAATGTTTGTGCTAGTATTTTATAAATCATTAGCTAATTCAGTAATTAACTTATGATGCCTAATATTGAGTGAATTTTTCCATTATTGTGATGTTTTGAAAGGGACCATGCTTTACCAGTTTCTCTGTTACACACTTTATAATTTAATCTGTTACATGATTACATCAGAAGTGTAGTTTGAAGTGTTGTAATGTTTCACTGTACTTTGCACCATAATACAGTATTCATAATTAAATGATTAAAGGAAGTACCCCATGTGCTTAGATTGGCTAGCTGTCACGTTGCTTATTCTTACATTCTTTTAATCGACGTGCAGATGGTGTTCCTTCCAGAATGTTTTGATCACATTGGTGAGAAGAAAGAACATGCCTTAGAGATGGCTGAACAAGTTGAAGGACCTTTAATTCAGAGGTATAAAAACCTTGCTAAAGAATTTAACATTTGGCTTTCTCTTGGAGGTTTTCACCAACAAGTGAGTATTTCAAATTTTGTCTTTTAATGTTGAAAATTTTTGAGAATCTTAACATTTTTCAACTAAAAATTTCGTTTTTTAGTATACAGAATAGTGATGCCTTTATGAAAATGTTTGGAGTATGAAAAAAGGGAAAACTATTCATCATAAAACACTGAAAACATGAATTATGTAAAAATAGATTTTTACACAATATCATGTGAAAATGTATTTTTTACAATAAAAATGTTTCATAAAATTACTGTAATTTATAAGCTCTAAAAAATAATAATTACAAATTATTTTTATAGAGAAATTTTTAGAATTAATTATGTTTAACTGCAATCAATGGTCAAAATCTCTAAAAACATTGTTGTAATATGGTAAAAAATAATATTATTAATGTAACAGTGTCATATAAAGCAGTTAAATGGGTAATGAAGAAAAACTT